TTTTTTTTTCTTTTTTTTTTTCCATAAGTTAATCGTTTTTGGACATTGAGGGACCATTTGCGCTCACCAATATGTGGAGCTGTTCATTATGAATGGGTTATTGACCAAGCTTGTTCGGTCAATATGGCGTGTTAATGGACCGAGACGGAGTTAGGTTCCTAACCTCGCGAAAAAAGAACTAGGCCAGTATCCAGCCATCTTGACCGAACAAGCTTGGTCAATAAAGTGTTTCTTGTCTTTCTTGTATAGCTTTAGGGTAAGTTTTTCTTGCGGGACGATTTGATACTCGAGAGAAGCGAAATGAATTTTCTGTTTTTATTTTAACGTTGTTGACCAGGTGTTTGCCTTTTTGCAATTTCTCTAATAAATTTGGCGGCACAGATAACTTAAAGTAAATGTTTTTTTAGTAAATTGAACCTAGATGATAAACCAATTGTTATCTCTCACGGAATTAAGCATTAGATCTCTCATACGTGTTATGTTACGGGAAACAATTTTGCGTCTGATATATTCTAATTCTAACGACGAGAGACAAAAAAATGTAAATGTTGTACTTTTTTATTTGTCGTTTTATATTAGACTACAGTGTATGTTAAAAAATTTCTTTATATCGAGGAAAATGAAGGAGTTACTTTTGTATTCACGATATTGGCTAGTGGCAAGCATTTTTCACTCGGCGCCGTGCGGCGCCAGTATTATAACACCAAAACTATCACTGAATTATTATTAAAGTTTCGAGAGGGAGTCAGAAATTGCGATCAAAGTGACTGTCTGTTAAAGCAAACGATATTTCTAAGTAAGAATTCGTTGGATTTCTGATCATTTGCCACTGGACAGCATTTGAACCACTTTTATCAGTGAGAAACAATTTAAAGACTGAACCTCATTTGACTTTAATTAAAGAAAACGTTTTCGGCAAGATAGCAAGGATTGATTCTGTCACGTTGTTGGCCAATTTATGACCTACTCAACTAAAATTAACCCTTATTAAATTAAAGATGAATCTACCAATCACACTAGCTGCATGAGAGGCGGCTTTGGCGGTAAATCAGCAGGGGTCTACGCCAAAAAACCCGGATGTTGTCGACAATGCATGCATCTGATCAGAATTGAGTACAGCAGCTGTGAACTGTTTTAGGATGCTTTTTCCTCGGCGTATTGTATTACGAGGTGACATAAAGCTTCTCTCTTCCTCACAGCATTATTGCGACTCGTACGTTTCAGAGTGATGCTGACCAAACAACTCGTAACAGAGAACTAACCAAGAGTAAAACGAAAGAAAAAATAAACGAAAAAATGGTAAGTGACAACTGTTCAATTTACAACTCTGAAATTGCAGTAATTACTTAAATGCGTTGTCAAAAACTTTTCTTAAAAAGCAAGTTCATTTACTAAGCAGTTTGAATCATATCTGTTTATTCTAATAAAATGTTCATTATTGTCTTTGCAGCGTTGTCACACAGGCATATTCTCTCTCATAATACTACACAGCATCAAAACTGTTTCTGGTAACAGTTTGCTCAGTGGCAATTGTGTATCTTCCATCAAAGGCAGCGCTCTTGTGAAACACTGTTACACATCACTTATGACACACAACATACTCGCATGTTATTATCGGTGTAAAGAAGACAAACTGTGTCAGAGTTTGAACTTTTACGAAAAGAAGAACCTTTGTGAATTGAACAACCGAACGCGTGCTGTGGGATCTCTGAATTTTCTCTCGTATGCAGATTCTGTTTACTTGGATAATCCGTTCAGAGGTAGGTTTTGAATTCTCCGAATTTGTTCTCGCGTTTTGAGAGTTAATGTTTATGATGATTTCTGTGGTAAGTATTAATGTATTTTTCTAGCGGGGTAGTTCACAATTTGTTGCGTGCCATTTTCAGTGTCTTTTCAGTTGGCTTCCTTTGCGGAAGGGGGTGAATTAATTCTTAGGACGTGAACTTCAAAAAACATAGTACATATGTGATCTGCTCAAGTAATGCTCCATATTTGATCTGGCTACTGTGCTTAGAGGTTCCTTTTCAGTAAGCTCTCCAACTAAAAGACTGTTGAGCACTCCTCCTTTGCCATGACGCTGACTAAGAGGTACTACAACATGTCGTAACTAACTATGAAAATTTGAAATGGGACACTCGAAGTCAAAGCAACACCTTAACGATACGGCGAGCTCCTTGTGCCATATAGAGTCTCCGCTTGGATTTAAAGTAGCTACGTCACCGTTTCCGCATCTTGAAAAGTTTAGCCTAAATTTGCCAAGTTCGTTGTCTGTAATCCGTGTTATATTAACTATCCTTGTTCCTTTATGGTTTATTATTATCTCTTTGGTGTTTATCTATCTCAGTAAACTGCTATAATTTAAAATACCACGAGGTATTAACATATTTCTTCCTTCCTCTAGCAGTCTAACTTAGGTGTCTTTCTTGTTATAAAAGCTACTCTGGGTTCCTTCTCCAAGCTTCCAGCTGCTTCATGCCGAGAAATCAAGAACAGTTCCGGAGGACTGGCGACTAGCGGTCGGTATTGGTTAGATACGGGAGAGTCTGGACACAAGCCTATTATCGCTTACTGTGATATGGAAAGAGAAGGTAAATGCACAGGTTTCGTGCATCTAGAATAATCTGTTTGTATTATTTCTTTCATAATTATTTCGTTTTTTTTCCCGGCGTAGTGATCGTGGAGTGTACTGGGAATCCATGTCGAAATGGCGGAACGTGTGACTATCAGGGGGATGGTCAGTATTCATGTCGGTGTTCAGGAGGGTACAGCGGGCGCAACTGTGAACTTGGTAAGTAATGCTTCCATCGATTGCCTCAAAAGCCATAGATTTAGTCCTTTATTGGCTAAGTTTGTTCGGTCAAGATGGCTGGATATTGGCTGCAATAAATGAACAAGCTTGGTCAATAGTCCCTATATAAAGATTAAGTAGAGTAAAATTCTACGTTGCAATATTTCTTGCTACAGTTACAGACAAGTGTTCCAGCAACCCCTGTTTGAATGGAGGAACGTGCAATGTTACTGTCAATGGTTTTACATGCGCATGCGCACCGTTCGTTACTGGCATTTATTGCGAGCTTGGTGTAGGTAAGTTTCGTCACAACATTACGAGCCAGGCTTTGTACTGGAGAGATGTCTCTCTCTGAAAAAGTTAACTTTCAAGGAAAAAGCAGTCAGACTGGTTGGTCTGCCACCTGGAGTCAATGACTAAATTGTACTGAACATTGTCGAAATGACGAGCTGAGAACAAAGAAAATCACCATGTATATCAGAGACTTCCTGTAGCATCAACTTTTCAAACTATCGCACAATCCCTAACAAGGTCTTTGGACAACCAGTGCCCTTTTTTATTTTTTATTATTGTGTAAGCTATCTGTAGTTGCTGATGCCCTGTGTACACCTCCATCCCTTAAATTTGAACAATGCAAACCTTTGGCTATATCTTAACTAATTCTTCAAAAATTCAAAATTTAAGAAACTTTTTCGCCATTAATACACTTACAAATATAATAATATTATTTTGTCGTCACGTGTGGCCTACGATCAAAGGTAACCTTGCAAAGAACGTCAGATCGCAGGTTACACCAAGGGTGCCATCAATACATACCACGAGGTTGCTCTAAGGAGCCTTTGATTTTATTATCGTGTAAACTATCTATAGTTGCTGATGCCCTGTGTAATATGATCCCCCCTACCGACAACCTCCCTCTTTCTCCTCGTCGAACAAAAGAAACGTATAGGTCTCCCGGCTGCTTACAGCTTTAAGTTAGTAGCAGGAATTGAATATTTTTAGCACTCAAGACTTCAACTTCTCACTATAAAAGAATATATGGCATTTTTTCTTTTCTTATTCTTGGGAAGTAAATTAATTTACATCACATTAAGTGATCGATTGACCTGAATAGGCCATTTCCGAATTACCTTTAGCCTCGTTTTCAAAGCGAGTCTTGGTGCCCATTCTTTCATATGAAAATTAGATTTCATTAACACGCAAATTAAACTCATTTTCATATGAATGGTTGTGGACCTGGCCTCGCTTTCATAGAGAGGCTCAGGGCAACTCGGAAATGGGCTATTATCCTCATTGACAATATATAATCTGACCTACCATAACAATTAGTTCTGTGTCAGACAAGGAACAAGGAAATTAAGTGACAACCGTATTTTACTTTCTTTCCTTTTTATGTGAATAACAGGAGAGGGATGCGACAGGTACTTGACAAACATGGATTTGGATCGAAGCATTCACACCAGAAGTTTGTCCCGATTCCAAAAATGTGACCGCACAATGGTTGAAGGCTGGTACCGCTTTAACAGTACCGCGGGCGTAAGAATGCCCGACTACTGCGTGAATAGCTACATGTGTAATACGCATGCGTCCGGTTGGCTAAATG